GCAAAAAAAAGTAAAGTGGACATTCGCGCGCGCAAGACCAACAAAAAACACGACGATCTCAGGAACTTGCCCCAAAAATGTGACCAACTCCGCTCTCTCTGTCTCTCTCTCTGTCTGCTCTCTGTCTCTCTCTCTGTCTGTCTGTGTCATGTATTGTATGTCACAATTGCAGGATGCTGGGCACACGCGCGCCCCGAATAAGTGACCAAGTTCTGTGGGTGTGTACCCCACGCCAGTGTAGTAGCCACGGTCGTCCGCACGCCACGAAGTGAAGTGTCCCAACGTCATAGGGCGGGAAGCTGGGTTTGGGTGGTCGCGAAGAGTCGTTTGGATATTTGGTAGAGCTTGAACTGCCCCCCCACGAAGTGGGGGTATTGTCTCGCGTCGCATGAAAACCCTGGCACTGGTGAGAACACTGAGCGTTCGGGTAAAATGATTGTTGTTGTTGTTGTTGTTGTTGTTGTTGTTGGGGGGCCGGTTTTGGCGGTCCCCCAAACCGCGCGATCGTGATCCTTAGTTTCAATGAAAATGCAGCCGGCGCCTCGGCGAGAGCGCCAGGGCACCTGTAAGGGGTTCAACAATAATAACTGTTTAGTAATGAACATTCAACAATCATGTTAAGACTGTTCGCTCCTTCTGCTCACGTGCCAATCAATACGTATATCCCAAACCCTCGGTACCCCCCCCTCGTCGTCTTCGATCGTACCCTCGTACCCCCCCTCGTCTTGGGGGTATATCTTCCTTACCTGCCACGCGCATGTAGCGCAGCCCATAGAAACGAGGGAAGAGAAGACGGGTGGAAGGGGGACGGAGAAGAATGGAGCACGAGAGAAATTAGCAGGAGGGGGGCAAGGAGCAGAAAACAAGGGGTAGAACCAGACGGGCAGACTGGGTGGGCAGACCAACGACAGCAACCAACAACAGCAACGACAACAACAACGACGTGACCATTGAGGCTCAAGTGACTGCTAAGTAACTTTCACGCCCCCAGCCAAGGGGGGCCTCCAGCCGGGCGCAGCTGGCCCAGCCAGTGGCCGCGGCGAGTCCCGAGCCGAGCGGGGCCACCGGCCAGGCGCAGATGGCCAGGCCAGCAGCCGTGGCGAGGCGCCTCCGCCCGAGGTCAAGACCGAGAGGGAGCGAGAGGACGCGGGAGGACCGAGCCAACTCGCCACGAGGACGAGCGCGAGGACACCCAGGCCCAGGTCCACGCCGAGCCCCTGGACGGGGCCCCGTCGGGGATGGCCAGGCCGTCGAGAAGAGCCAGGCCGTCGAGGAGCAGCCCGAGGACATCGGGCTCAAGGGCATGCAGCTCCAGGACCAGAGCAGCGAGCACAAGGAGAGCGAGGTCGAGGACAGCGAGCCCGAGGGCAAGGCCCGGGGCACCCAGGCCCAGGTCCCCGTCAAGGACAGCGAGCCCGAGGACGAGACCGAGTGCAGCGAGCTCAAGGACAAGCCGCCCGCCGAGGAGCTCGGGAACAGCGACCCCGAGCTGCTCGGGAACAGGTGCCCCGTGCTGCTCGAGGAGCTGCAGGTCGAGAACGGCCAGCTCGGAAACACCCAGCTCGACGTCGTCGAGTCCAGGCTCCAAGTCGCCCAGTCCCGGCTCGCGGAGGTCGAGGGCGACCTCGCGCCAGCGAGTCAGGACTCGCTGGTGGCCGTCCTGACGAGGACGCCGAGGCCATGGCGGGGGCGTCTTTCCAGCGGCTGTCGAGCCGCTGGGAGCTGTGACCGAGCGATCAGGCCACGGAGTAGCGGAGAGAAACGAGACCAACACGAACAAACACAACAAGCAAAAACAGCAACAGCAACAGCAACAGCAACCACAACAAGCAAAAACACCAGCAACCAGCACAACAACAGCACCAGCACCAGCACCAGCAACCAGCACAACAGCAAACACCGACATCATCCACATCAACATCAACATCAATAACTTTTCGTTCCTATCTGCTCACGTGCCAGTCAATACGCATATCCAAAACCCTCGGTACCCGCCCTCGTCGTCTGTACCCGCTTGGGGGTATATCATCCTTACCTGCCACGTGCATTTAGTGCAGCCCCTGAGGCAAGGGAAGAGAAGACGGGTGGAAGGGTAAAGGGTAATAATGGAGCACGGAGAGAAATTAGGAGGGGGCAAAGAACAGAAAACAAGTGGCATAACCAGACGGGCAGACCGGGTGGGCAGACCCATAGCGGGCAAGTTGGGAAGGCGGGCCCAAGCGACCAGGTCGAGCAGGCGGGTTTCTGAAGCGTGGGTCCTGCATGACTCGCGAGGAAGTCTCGAGCGATAACGCGATTCCCAAGTAAATCGTGAGAAAAGCCAAAGCGAGAACGTGACTCCTGAGCGCCGAGGGCGCATCGTCTGAATAAACTGCGAGGCAGTCCCACGCGAGAGCGCGCATCGTATACAAATTGTAAGAAGTCCCGCGCGAAGGCGCAATTTGGGAATACGCTGTGAGGAAGTATCAGGCGGGAGCCGTTCAATTGAAAAAACACAGTGGTCACCGGAGGGGGGATTAACAATACTTATACTTCATAATGAAAATTCAACAACAGAAGCTAACAACACCAACAATACGCTAACAACGAGAAGCGGGCAAACGAGGCTAGCAACAAGCTAACAAAACAAGCCGACAAACATAAGCTCACACGAAGCTAACAACAAAGAGCTACCAACATCAGCAACAACAAGAAGCAGCTCACCATCATCATCATCATCATCATCATCATCATCATCATCATCATCACCATCACCATCACCATCACCATCACCATCACCATCACCATCACCATCACCATCACCATCACCATCACCATCACCATCATCCATCACCATCACCATCGTCATCATCATCATCATCATCATCATCATCATCATCATCATCATCATCATCATCATCATCATCATCATCATCATCATCATCATCATTATCATCGTCATCATCATGATCATCATCCTCATGTCGATCGGGAACGCGTCGCTCGGCTCGCCAACGATCCAGCGAAAGCCAGCCTCATCCTCGATGGGGGCGCCGGCAAGGTTGGCGTCCGCGGGCGACGCCTTGCCAAACAGGCGCCGCGCTGGCACCGCAGCGCATCCGCCTCCGCAGAGGTCCTCCAGCGCAATGACCTCGCCACTCCACCGCGCGGCGAACGGCGGGGGCTCCATGGGCTCGGCTCCTTCCCGCGTGGCGTCCCTCGCGAGGTGCCGCGCCTCTATCATCTTCAAGCGCAGGGCCCGCGGCCCCACAGCCTGGCGGAAGCGGTAGCGAGACGAGGTCACCGACCGCGGCACCACCCCCGCCGTGCCCCAGCACCACGGAGTCCACGATTGAAGGGGCCCTGAGACACACAAATAAATACACACAAATAACAGGATTCCCCATATTTTCCTATATTTTCTGGGTTTTTGTCTTCCCCCCCACTTCCCATATTTTCCCATATTTTCTTGGGAATCGACGATTAATTGTGTCTGTGTGTTTTTCTTCCCTCCTTAAATATGTCCGCACCCACGAGAGTCTCCGCCATCTGGTCGTCGTCGGGCGACTCCGTCGCCCGCTCCTCGAACGAGACGGGCCACAGGCACGCGCGCCGGTGCAGCAGCTCTTCGCCCACGTCGTCGCAGCGCACGAGGGTCCGACCACCGGGCGTCAGCCCTCTCAGTGACGCCGCCGCCACGGGCGGGGGACCTCCGCGCCGGGCCGCCACCACCGCCATGCTGGACGCCGCGCCTCACGCAGGCCCAGTACCCGCCGGCCCCTGCGACGATCAAGTTAACACCACGAGGCCCAAGGCGAGCAGAGCCCAGGGCGGCCCGTCAGGGCAGCTCAGGCTCGGACAGGGCGGGCACACCGCCTGCGGGCAGACCAGCTCGGGGCAGGACAGGCTGGGACACGGCGCCGGCGGTGGGCACGGCGTCGGAAGCGGGCAGCGCTCCCCGCCGCTGCTTGTCGCGGTCCAGCCGGCAATCAAGCCAGCCACCGCGCCGCGGCCGATCCCTCGGGCAGCCGACTGGAGGGGGTCGCTCACAGCAATCGGGAGCACCATCTAAGGTGCGACGCCTCAAACACTTTGAGCAAAAATGGGCCGCGGTCGCTTCCCATGCTCGCAGCCTTCCACACACCCTCATTCCAGTCACAGACAGTGCCGTCATCCCTCCTACTTCCTCCTTCATCCTTCCTCCTTCCTCCCTCCTCCCTCCTCCCTTCTCCCTCCTCCCTCCTCCCTCCTCCCTCCTCCCTCCTCCTCCTCCTCCTCCTCCTCCTCCTCCTGCCCTCCTCCTCCCTCCTCCCCTCCTCCCTCCCTCCTCCCTCCTCCCTTCCTCCCTCCTCCTCCTCCTTCCCTCCCTCCTCCCTCCTCCCTCCTCCCTCCTCCCTCCACCCTCCCCACTCCTCCCCCTCCCCCCCTCCCCCCTCCTCCCTCCTCCTCCTCCTCCTCCTCCCTCCTCCTCCTCCTCCTCCTCCTCCCTCATCCTTCCTCCCTACTCCCTCAGCCCCTCCTCCTCTCGTCCTCGTCGTCCTCGTCTCGTCGTCCTCGTCCTCCTCCTCCTCCTCCTCTCCTCCTCCTCCTCCTCTCCTCCTCCTCCTCCTCCTCCCTCTCCCCCCCCTCCCTCCCTCCCTCCCTCCCTCCCTCCCTCTCTCCCTCCCTCCATCCCTCCCTCCCTCCTTCCCTCCCTCTCCCTCCTCTTCTGCCCACTTTCCGCAAGACGCCCCTGTATTGATCGGAGCCATTTCCCGATCGTGCAACAGCCACGGGTCTCGCCCATGGCTCGAGGAAAAACAATTGCATATAAGCGCAAACTGTCGGAGCCCCGAGCGCATGGAGACCTGCACTTTCGGAGCTCCGAGAGGTTATGATTATGCAATGTTTCTTCTTCGACACAGGTCTGGTGCATGGCGGAACGCCCGCCCAGCTCAACGCGACCAGCGCCCGCCGGCGACCGTTCGCGGAGGGGCGGCCGGTGCCTGGAACATGGGGAAGACTACTCGCGCGAGGGCGGCTCACATCCGGAACATCGGCAGCACGGCGTCGTAGAGGATGCCTGGGCGATGGGGAGGGGGAGGAAGACCCCCCCGCGGTCCTCTTGCTATATGCGCGGACTGCCCATCTGCAAGGCCGTGTACGGCGACAGCAGGACGGAAAACCGACCGAACCCACAAACGGAACAGAAGCCGACCGGAATCGACAGGGCGCAGCCTAGAAGGGCCGAAAGCAGCCTGGAAGGGCGCAGCGGCGCGGCAACGACCCAATCACCGACCGAACCGCGAACACCCTTGATCTGTCCACCTGGAGTCGCCGGCCTCCGACGCCCCCAGAAGCGTCGCGCTGTGCCAGACCGAGCGGGCGGGGCGCAGAACGGCCACCGCCCTCGAGCCATGCAGGCCGGTGGAGGGGCAGACGTGTGGCTGCGTGCCTTACCACACGGAGCGGAGATGAGATATTTCCGTGCTCTTGCCGAGAGGGCACGGACGGAGCGGAGGTGAGAGGTGAGAGGTGAGAGGTGAGAGGAGGAGGAGGAGGAGGAGGAGGAGGAGGAGGAGGACCAGTGCAAATCCAAGACACATTAACGATCTTGCAATACACCTTCCCTACTGCGAGTTGGGCCCAACCAGCCAGACGGGTCTGTAGCTAAGCACCGCTGGACGCGTCCGCAGTTCACCACGGCGAACGCAAACGGAGGGACAAGAAGGGGGTAGGAAGCGGCCGCGGGACCCACCATGTAGACCCTCGAGCGACGTGAACTTCTCTGCCAATAACTGACAGGCCTCTTCCTCGGCTACACGCAAGGAGTGGCCCTAGACAAGAGTGACCTTTGGCCCGAGCCGTCGGGGGTCGCGTGGGGGCCAAGATCCAAGAGAGCAAGCCAACGCTGGGGTGGCCCAAGTGGGCTCGCACCAGAGATCACTGCGGCGGAGGGCAAGACGGAGCCAGGACGAGGACAAAGTCGGGTGAGGATACAAATAGAAGATCCCTGAGATCTGGCGGCTCTGGGGCATGTCTCGGGCGCCGTGGTCTTCTCAGAGCGTTCCAGAGCGCTCTGGAATGGATAATCCTCGTCCCAGCCTCAGGTCGGGCATGTCCTCCTACGGGCGGACTTTGGAAGGAAACTTTGAAATAGCCCACAAATCAAACGTAGTCGAAAGAGCACAAAAAAACGTCACCTAACTATTTTTGCACTATCCTTGGATATTCCTCCTGTAAAAGGAAATGCCCGCCTTAATCCCAGCCCCGTCCGAAAGGGTCATTCTTACGCGCAGCCGTGCAATCGAGTCTCCTGGAGCCAATCTTCCAGACCCGCGGCCGGCTCCTGCCGCATGACGGCCCGTTCTGCCGTCGGCGGCGTCGTCGTCGTCGTTGCCATCGCCGTCGTCGTCGTCGTCGTCGTCGTCGGCGCTGTCGTCGTCCTCTTCAAAAAGTCGATCCCATACATCCTCCGCTGTGGCGCCTGCAAAACAATCCGCAGCCCCCCCGAGCTCCCGACCCCCTTCCCTTGGGGGGTGGCTGTGCGCCTCGGATCCATGTCCAGCCGTCCCGGGGCCCGACAGCCGGCCCCAGAGGCCGGAATCGAGGAAAAGCGCCGGGAGTGAAAGATTGCATTCTCGGGGAAACGGCGGCGGTTGGACGCCGCCGCCGTCGTTGTCGTCGTCGTCGTCGTCGTTGTCGCCGTCGCCGTCGCCGTCGTCGGCGGCGGCGTCGTCGACGTCGGCGCCGTGGCTGGGAGGCAGAGCGTATAGTCAGCCGGGGCGGCGCGCCGCAGGAGCCGCAGACCCACACCTTCGAGGGGCCTCCCGTGCAGCCCGAGCCCACCTGGCGCCGCCGCGGCGACGGCGACGACGACGGCGACGACGACGACGACGACGACGAGCACGACAACGACGACGCTGACGCCGACGCTGCCGACGAGCCCGTGTCGGCAAGCCGCCGCCTCCACCACAGGGCAAATATACTCGCGCTTCGGGCTCCGCGCTCCGCGAAGCGCGATTATATCTTCGCGTTTTCGCGCCACTCCAAGAGGAGGAGGAGGAGGAGGAGGAGGAGGAGGAGGAGGAGGAGGACCAATGTAAACCCAAGACTCATCACCGATGTTACAAAAAACCCTCCCTCCAATTTCCCTCTTCTTAAGACGTAAGACTTCAGACTTAAGTCCCTACATATATTCTTTTCGCTGCTGGAAATGCCCCTTTGGAAAACAACCGTCTGAAAATCCTGTACCGAGCCACTATACCATTCTTGGGTGTTCAACGCCGCGAATCAAAGTCAGTGCTGCTTCCAGACGATCCTGAATCATGCCAGAAAAGCATTCCTGGGACTTCACCACTGCGAACGAACGTGACTGTTGCACACTGACGGTCCTACATCGTGCCGAAACACATCTTCTGGGACGTCAACCATAAAAAACGTTGACAATGCTCTACACCTTTTCAGACGAAGGCGCGCGGCGCTGAGGCGAGAATCAAAGTTTGAAAAAGAACCGCCATCAATCCGTGAATCTCTACCACGTTCCCCAATCAATGCTTGCGCTGAAAAAACGCGGAAATTGAAACATTTGGCGACGATTTCGGTAGGCAGCCGGGTTCCCCGGTTCCGGTTCCAGGTTTCCGGGTTCCCAATTGCTGATTCCATACCGATTTCGGTGGGCGGCGGGGTTTCCTGGTTTCCGGGTACCCGGGTTCTTGGTCGATCTCCTTATCGATCGGTCTCACCATCGATCTCACTACCCACCTTTTTACTGAACTCACAACCGATACCACGATGTATCGCACGAGCGAACTCGCGATCGATCTCACTATCGATTAAATTGAATCGACTTCGCGATCGGTCTCACGATCGACCTTACTATCGTCCTTACAATCGATCCCACTATTGGTCTCACTATCGATATTACAATCAATCTCAATATCCATACCACGGATTTTCAAACCATCAACTGTTTGGGGGTTTCTCTGGAGTGATTTTACAACGAATACGTGCGGCGGTAAGGCAATAACCGCATTTTGAAAACCAGCAACCATTAATCCGAGAAGCTCTTGCAAACGTTCAAGACGAATGTGCACGGCGCAAGGGCGAGAACCAAGTCTGAAACCACCCGCCTTCCATCCGCGAAGCAATCGCCAACTTTTGAAACGAATGTGCGCGGCGTTAGGGAAAGAACCAACTTATGCAAACCAACTGCCCTCCATTCGGGAAACTCTTGCAAACATTGAAAACGAATGTGCGCGGCGCTAAATCGAGAACCGCATAATGAAAACCACCCGTCCTCCATCTGGGAAGCACTTGCAAACTTTGAAGAAGAAAATGCGCGGCACGAAGGCGAGAACCACATTTTGAGCAAGAGCAGGTAACCTCCCGAGAAAAGCCTTGCAAACTTCGAATCGACTGCACAGGGCGCAGAGGCGAGAACCAAGCTTTGAAAACGGCCCGCCCGCATTCAGAGAGACTCTTGCAACTTTAAAAACGAATGCGCGCGGCACAGGGGCCAGAACCACATTCGGAAAACCGCCCGCCCTCCATCCGTGAGAAAGACAGTCTAAGAAACAGCTCGGGCGAAACGCCCGCCCCGCCCTACCGACAAGTCTCGCGGCGCGGCACAGAGGAGCTGTGTATGAGGAAGACGTATGGGGAAGGAGCTGGAGGAGGAGGAGGGAGGAGGAGGAGCAGGAGGAGGGAGCAAGGAGAGTGGTAGATGAGGGAGGAGGATGAGGAGGAGGAGGAGGAGCAGGAGGAGGAGAAGGGAGAGGAGCAGGAGGAGCAGGGAGGAGGAGGGAGGAGGAGGGACAGGGGGAGGAGGATAAGCTAGGTGCGCTCGCGTCGTATCAGGCGTCCTACCCCTCTCTCCCATTCCTTACCACGGCGTAGATATCCTCTCGATTAACACAGTCGGATGTCGAGCAGGGCAATGGTCGCGAGAGGGTATGCGATGCAAGGTGTAGGGCACAGCATGGCATGGCATAGAATAGCACGGCAGAGCATACCATGCCGTCGCATGGCGTGGCATGGCGCACTGAAACATTGAACATTGCAACGCAAAGCATGGCATCGCACAGCGGCGCAAGACACAACACCGCACACCATGTTATGGCATGGCGCCGGGTTCCTTGGAGGGTCTGTGGATCGTCTTCGAGACGTCTGGGCCGGTCTGGAGTCGTGGCTCTTTGTCTTGCTCCTAGGGCTCCCCGAACAGCTCCACACTCGGGGCTGATGGAGAGCACCCGCTGGCTCTGCTTTCAACTTTGCAATGTCGAATCAGAAACGGGGCCCCGCTTGATATTTCCTGAAAACGACGACGCTCCAAAGTGTGGTGGGGGGCAGCCCAAATCAACGAATCGACACCGAATGCGTTGTCACTTCTGACGGTTTTTTCGGGGGGCATGTTCTACATGTTTGGGCCGATTTGGAAGGACCGAAAACGCCCGCGCTGCAGCGGGAGCACGATTTGGAACAACAAGAGGCGCAGAAATGGGGCCAACGCTGCAGCGGGAACCACGTTTTGAAAAACCGAATCCGGTGTAACAAAAACAATACGCGGAGGGGGGCCGAACGTAGTCCGGACAGACTCAGGGGAGAGAGGAGAGTAGTATTCATGTGATGTAACTGTGGAGGGAGGGGAGGAGGGAGGATGAGGACGAGGACGACGACGGTAAGCGAAAAGGGGAGGAATGGGGACCTCGAGACCTTGGTCGTTGCAATCTTCCCGCGCCGAACGTTCTCGCTCGATTTCGGGCCCTGGGACCGTCACGAATCGACGCGGCTCGAAATTCGCCGCAAAGAGATGGCGCGGAAACACTGTAACGACAAGGTCTTGAGGTCCCCATCCCTCTCCTTTCGCTTATCGTCGTCGTCGTCGTCGTCCTCCTCCTCCTCCTCCTCTTCCTCCTCCTCCTCTCTCCTCCTCCTCTCTCGCCCTCCTCCTCCATCCCTTTTCCTTCTACATAACTCCTCCTTGTCGCGCCCCGAGACGTGCCGGCAGGGCGGGCCGGGCGTTCTCGCTCGGTTTCGGGCCCCGGGACCATCACGAATAGACGCGACCCGAAATTCGCCGCAGAAAGATGGGGTCTGGGTCCGGGTCTCCTGTGGTTTTTCCTCTGCCACGATGTCAACATGTCTGTTCGCAGCGTCGGATCTCAGCTTGTGGCTACCCCACTGGCCGAGTTTGTGGGACTCTCGACTGGGCAGCTGACCTGTCTTTTGTTGTTTTGCCCTCGCCTGTCTGTATCCGCGGGGGCAGGCGGGGTTGCACCGCCTGCACAAGAACAAACGGTTTGGCCGAGACGGCCCGAGACGGTCCCCGCTCGCACGGCATAGCGTGGCACTCTGTGGCGCGGACCGCTCCAGGACGCGCTCCACGATGTCAGAGCGAGCTGGGAATGCTGTGGCATCTCTTGTGATAGGTAAAGGTCTGAGATCCGATGTGGGCCTGCATACGCCAGCGGTAAACGACACTGCAGAGGAGTAAGTTTGACGCCCAGTAGCAGCCCTTGCTCATCCAACAAGGCTTACTGCCTCCAACCCACACCGCCAGGCAGCTTGACTTCTGACTTGGGAGGTATTCGCGGGAGCTCGAATCTTGATGAACATCCCGATAATGCCACCTCTCCCAGCGCTGAAACTCGCCCCTGTAGTTCGAATTGCTGAGATCGAGTGATAGTGTAGTGGTGATTTCTGTTTGCTTCGCGGAGGTCAATGGTATGAAATCTGGTGTGCAGTCTTCTGAGGGAATGACACCAGAATGATGAGCAGAATGTGTGTTGACGCGTTCCTGCTTTGTTTTGGTCACTGTCCTGGTGCCTCCTTGCCCATCATTTTCTTGCTCCGTGTATGTCACCGTCCTGTAATGGTAACATTGGACAGACCAAACGAAACGAGGATCCTCACGGCGTGGTTTGTGCATCAACTCGATCACGTTTTCCAAACCGCAGACCTCATTGGAAAAGGAACTCGTCAATCTCACACAACAACCGATGTGCAGGAGGTAGACAACGTAAGCAGCGGCGGCTCCGTACAGAATTTCCGTGCTCTTGGCAATGGGGGCTGCCACCAAGCAGGCCAGGGTGGCCAACGCCATCAGCGCAGAGAAGAAGTAGCTGCAGCAGTGCTGCCTGCAGGCACCTCCGCAGCCGACACCTCGACCTCCCTGGCCCAGGTCTATGTCGATGTGGGCCGTGGTCCTTCGCCCCAGGATGGACACGACCGCCTCGTAGATGAGAGCGTCCACTGTGACGTGCCTCGAGCGAAGGTGCGGGCGGCCGAGCAGGTACATAACGGCATCCGCGTCGGCGTAGTTCGCGCAGGCCCCTTCCTGCTCCGAACGGAAGTGCCCCCAAACGGTCGCGAACCGCTCGTCATCAAGGTGCAAATTCCTGGGGGGGGGGTACACACGGTACGGCTACAACTACTGCCTGAACCTCTCCCGAGGTGCATTCTGACTACAACTTCGAGGCGAATCCAGCCGTGTAGACGAGGCCTCTTCAGAACGAGCAGCGGATCGCTAACTGTTCCTCCTCTGAGTTCCTAGAGGCCTTCTAGATGGGGTCCACGTAGATGGGATCCGAGAATCGCGCCGCATCGTCGATGCATCGGTGAAGTCGGCAATGCATCAGCGCCGTCGGCGTGACCGCTACTCCCCAGACCTCTCCCAGGGTGCGTTCTGACAAGAATTTCGAGGCGAATCCAGTCATGGCGACGAGGCCTCGATCGAACGAGCAACTGTATCGCTACCTTTTCCTCCTGTAAGTTCCTAGAGGCCTTCCAGATATGGTCCCCGTAGCTGGGATCGAAAGATCGCGCCGCATCGCCGATGCATCGGTGATGCATCAGCGCCAATCGGTGTGGAGAAAATCGGGCTCCACATCGAGCAGAACGCGGCGCTGCATCGGCGATGCGGCGCGCCCCTCCGACTCTGATCCCATTTGGGAAGCCTACCGCGGGTTCGTGTCGTGTCGACCCTGGCGCTGGTTCCTGACACCGCGGGAATCCTTCAGCCTTGAACGACTGGCCGTTTCCGACACGCCCGATCCTTCAACATTGACCGGCTCTGGGTCGCCGGCAGCGTTCAACATCGAACGCCCGCGGCGGGGTCTCCGCCGGTCGACACGACGCAAGCCTGCCGCCGCCGCCGCCGCGATCGTCATCGTCACGTCGTCGTCGCCGCCGAGAAAGCTCCACAGGTGGCTGCGCAGCTCGCCCGCGGACACGAGCCCATCCCCGTCCACGTCCATGCCGAGCAGCTGCTGCCTGCGCGGCGGCGACCGCCGCCGCAGCCGCCGCCGCCGTCGTCGCCGTCGTCGTCGTCGTCGCCGTCGTCGTCGCCGCCGCCGCCGCCGCCGCCGCCGCCGTCGTCGTCGTCGTCGTCGTCGCCGTCGTCGTCGCCGCCGCCGCCGCCGCCGTCGTCGCCGCCTCACGGGCGCCAGCGGCCCCGAGGCCGGGGCCGCCGCCGGAGCCGCGCGCGGCGGGCGGGCCTCGAGCCAGAGGAGGCGGAGCGGGAGGGGCCCGGGGCCGAGCGCGGCGAGCGCCGCGGCCGGGGCGGCCCGCGTGCCCCGGCTGCGGTGCACCACCTGGCGGGGAGGGTCCTCGTCCTCCACGTCCTCGTCCTCGTCCTCGTCCTCCTCCTCCTCCTCCTCCTCGTCCTCGTCCGCCTCCTGCTCCTTGTCCTCCTCCTCCTCCTCCTCCTCCTCCTCCTCTTCCTTCTCGCTGGCTCGCAGCTGGTGGCATTGTGGTCATCCTCCTCCTCCTCCACCTCCACCTCCTTCTACTCCCGCATACTTCTCCTCCTCCTCCTCCTCCTCTTCCTCCTCCTCCTTGTCCTCCCGGTGCAAAGATTGGAGGTGACGGGCGGGGTGGGGAAAGGAAGGGTGGAGGCCTCGCGCGGCAACTTCATGCCCAATTTGTTTCGGATCCACGTCGGATTTACGTGGGGTTCACGTTTCATTCACGTCGGACTCACGTTGGGACATCGCCGCGAGAACGTCGTCCCATATCTGACGGGGCAGACGTGCGGACTGGATAATACCACTGTTTCGCGCCGCGCGAGATCTCCAGGATGTTCCTCACAGACTACCTGCGCGCTGTGGTGCACCACATTGTCTCGGTGGATGTTGCGCGCGCCGCTGGGGAGAGCGACCGTGTACACGTCGTCGTCCTGGCAGAGGATCTGGCCGACCTGGCCGTTGAGATCCTCGCCCTCCACCAGGCCAGTGATTCTCACGAAGTGCCCCGTGGTCAGCTGGGGGCCGGAAGGCTCGACGCCGACCGCGAACACCGCGTGCCTTGCAGGGTCAAACGCGGTTCCCACCTGCTGGGCAGCGATGTCCATGACCTGGTGCACACTGGCGGTGGCTGGGTCCACGGACACCGAGGTGGTCCTGCCGTCGAAGACGATTACCGACACCGCGCGCAGCATGGCCTGCGCGGCCCTCACGTCCTCCTGGCTGACCTCCGAAGAGTGGAAGAAGAAAAACACGACTAAATATCAACTGTTGGCGCTCCGCGCGGATTTCCTGGATCTGCGCCGGACTCCCCTCCCCGGCGCGCTGAGCGCGGCAGGGGCGGCCCCAGAGGCGCCGCCGGGGGGCCCAGCGCGGATCCAAGAAATCCGCGCGGAGCGCCGAACATTCATGTTTCTGGCGTTTCTTCTTCTGCGAAAGAACGGGCAGAAAAACGGCATACGCACAAACTTTCGAAGGCCCGCGCGGACTTCCTGGATTGGCGCTGGACCCCCCCTCCCAGGCGCGCTCCGCGCGCCAGGGGCGGGGGTCCAGCACAGATCTTGGAATGCAGTCTGGGAACTGCTCCAGAACAGGAACGTGACGTAGACGGATCTGTCCTGTTTCCGACCTTGTACCGCGCCGATCGCATCGGCCGTGCTGTCTGCTGACGCATCTACCCCAAATGCGTCGATCTATATATATATGGACATATATACGCATACATATATGTGATACTATGACTATATATATATCATACATACGTGTGTACATACATATATATATATGCCCGACGACACCCACTGTGTCCACATAAGCTTGTGGCTAGAAAGCTAGGCTACAAAGGTAGTTCTTCTAGCAGCAGGTCGACTCTGCCTTCCAGCACAGATCCCAGAACTCCGCGCGGACCTCCGAGAGAGTTCCTGTTTAATGATACAGCTCCTCGAGACCTGGCCACCCCCGAACCACGCCGCCTGTACCCACGTCCCATCCGCCACGGTCAGGTTCTCCTGAGGGTCAACGGTGACGGGAAAATATCTATACACCACCACCGTGACTGGCCGGGGCCATCCTAGCCCTGGCATGGTGTAGACGCCATCCTGGCCGAGGCCAGGAGGGTCTATACACCATCCTGGGGCCCAGGATGGCTCTGGCCTGGCACGGTGGTGGTGTATAGATGCCTTCGTCGAGTCTCAGAAGGGGGGGGAGGCTACATCGACCTTGAATCGGTGGTACATCGCCGATAGATCGGCGATGTGCCCCTCGATTATGTCTCCGCACGCTCCTGGGCGCAGCGGGGCTCTCGGGCCCGCATTGGCAATGAGTGGGCGATGGAGGGAGGAGGAGGAGGAGGAGGAGGAGGAGGAGGAGGAGGAGGAGGAGGAGGAGGAGGGAGAGGAGGGAGGAGGAGGACGAGGAGGGAGGAGGAGGAAAGGGAGGAAGGGAGGGAGAAGAGGGAGGAGGAGGAGGAGGAGGAGGAGGAGGAGGAGGAGGAGGAGGAGATGGAGGAGGAGGAGAAGATGAAGGAGGAGGAGGAGGAGGAGGAGGAGGAGGAGGAGGAGGGAGGAGGAGGTGGAGGAGGAGAAGGAGGAGGAGGGTCAATGCATCCCCCCCCTGAGTCTATCCCCCTCCTCGCGGACTTTCGGGCCACAACTCACGCTTCCGGCGCCCTGTCGGAACGATCCGGGCACCCCTGGAGCGCTTTCGGCGAGGCGCGCGGCTGCTTGAGGGCAACCCCGAGGCTGGGAAAGCGCCGAGAACCGACGAAAACGCCAGCAAACCTCGGGATCTGGGGGCGGCGCCCCAACCGCCGAAACGACGACGACGACGACGACGACGACGACGACGACGACGACGACGACGGGGACGACGGGGACGACGACGACGACGACGACGACGACGACGACGACGACGGATGACGACGACTGCGACGACGACGACGACGACGATGCTCGGACACCTCACACCTCCAGCCTGTCGCCCCCCTGTCGTTGCCCCCGATCTCCGGGTCCACCAGGAGCTGCCGCTCGTACGCCTCCCGCAGCAGATGCGCGCACCGAACCGAAGCGAATCCGAACGCCACCGAAAACGGCGCGGACGAGAACCCCGGCACGGAAAAAACAATGGACCACGAAACGGACAAAAACAACGCCGATCTCTTGAAAACGGTGGGAAAACGCCCTAAGCATTGCTGTCATCCTCGGGTCGGCGACTCCGAGAGGTGTGGTTCGCGAAGGTTGGGTTGCATCCTCGGGGGACCTTGTCTGCTCGGTCGCGGCCCTATCCGATACCGCGTTGAATACGCGTCGAATCGATGTCGGACTCTTCGGATCCGTGTCGAGTCCGTGTAGAATCCGCGTCGAATCCACGCCAAATCCGCGTCGAGTCCGCATCGAGCCCGCGTCGTGCACAAGAGAAGACACCAATTTCGGCCAGCGGCAAGCGAGGGGGGGAACAGAGAAGGAGAAGGCCTTCTCAGAAGGTTCGGAAGTCCTCTGGCCTTCTGAGAAGTTTTCTAAACCTTCCCAAAAAACAAACAAAACTCCTGAAGGCGCGAGGGCTTCTGAGAAGTCCCGCCGCCTTCTGAGAAGGCCTTCTGTTAAGCTTTATGCTAGGTGGTGCCTGATCCTTTTCACCTCAGGCCTGGGCGAACTCGATCACAAAATGGCTTCGGCCAAACATACAAACGTGCATGCATGCAATACTCATTATCCTCGCTCGAAACCCCTCGAATATCTGCACGCCCCCTGAGGGCGATGTCGGAGGCTCAACGAGGCGGCTGATCAGACCGCTCAACGAGGAAACAGTGCACAACATCAAGGAAAACCTGGTCCTGCGAGCCGCAGGCAAAACACGCTGCTGCGGTGTCGCTCAAGCCCTTCCGCTGGGGTCCTCTCGACTCTCCAGCGGGATACCGCATCAAATCACTCTACTCACTCACTTCACTCACCTCACTCAGCCCAGGCCCCCTGAGCTCTCTCTCTCTCCCAGTGGTGTAAACCTCGGACTCTCCCGATGCCAGGAGTACGTCACCTGGCTCTGGGTCGAGACGGTCCTGTACTCGACCTTCAGCTTCTTGGTCTTGATGGCTCTCTGGTTGAGCTCTACCTTCTCTTTCTCCTGCCTGCTCTCGCTCGTGCAATTCGGCCTCATGAACTAGCCGATGCACCAGCCCGCACAGCCACCGACTGCGCATGCTACGATCACGATAGTGATCATGACCATGATGAGCATCATGCCCTGGAGGTGCACGCCAGTCTCTTGACGGGTGTCCTGCAGGGCGATCCCCCTCCTGTCCTTTCGTAGCCGTAGACGTCGCACACACCGTCCGCTTTCACCGAGCCCAGGCTGTCCAGGAGAGCGATCAGGGCCGCGCCGACCCTCGCCATCTTGGACGTCGTGTCGCTCACGACGTTGACCCGAACAGCCGTGCTCTCCTCCATGTCATCCGCGCCAGCCAACGGCCGTCGTCCCAGCTGTGCTCTCAGCCAGTGGAACCTCTGACTCGTCAGCGCCTTGGTACCCACGTCGGCCAGGTTGGTCTCCCCAGCCTGCTTGATCACCACCAGCTTCTTGTCTCGCACCTTGGCTTGGAGCCACAGGGTGCGGACCTCAAGGTGGCGGATCCTTCCCATCCCAACGCGGTGGCAGACCGCCTTGCCCGCAGAGGAGTCTATGCGGATCCTGATCTTCACGTCCATGTCCAGGAAACCCATCACACTCTGGAGGTGGATTGCCTCGGCGGCTGCTGTCACCGATGCGTAATACTCGGCTTCTCCTGAGCTCAGCGCTTGGGTACATTGACCGCGCGAGTACTCGAGAAGCGTGCAGCCGCCGCAGCGCAACACCCCACAAGAATTGCTCTTTCTGCCGATGGTGTCTCCAGCCCAATCTGAATCAGTGTAGCACTCCAAAATCTCTGTCTCTCCAGCTCTGGGAAAGAACAGTGCATAGTCTCGAACTCCAAGTAGGTACCTGCCGAGATGCTTGAGCCTCTTCCTGTCGTTGTCGGTGGGCGTGGCCAACCTCTTGCTCAGCACGTGGACAGCGAACGTGACCTCCGTGACATAGTTGACCATGTACCTCGCGATGCCCACGCACTGCCTGTAGAGACTGGTCTCCTCGGCGTTCAGCGGATGCTCGAAGTCCTCCTGCAGTAGCTTCGTCACAATTGGCGTAGGCGAGCTCTTCGCCTTGCCGAGGTTCAGCAGCTCCACGATCTTGTCCGCATACTTCCTGTTGCCCGTCAAGAACATGCCGTCCTCGACTCTCGCTCGCCCTCCTTTCAGATGTTGGTACTTCGCACCTACCTTGAGTAGCTTGCTCACCTTGATCTTGACCTTGCGGCTGAGCTCCGTCGTGAACGCTTGGAGGTTGCTGTCATCAGCTGTCGCGTAGATGTCATCCTGATGAAGCTCCAGGTCCACTGAATCCCGCTCTCGGCGGTAGAAGCATGGCTGATCAGGACATTGTTCAAACTCCATCTCTGAGACGAGGGCGCGGTTCATGAAGTCACTGAAGCCCCTGCTCGCGTCCCTCTCGCCATAGAGCTTCTTCTTCATCCTCCACATCGTCCTCGCAGTATTACCCTTGATCGCCTCGGCCTCGATCCACTCTCGAGGCGGCACCACCGCCACGAGCCTGTCTTGTTCAGCGTGGAAGTAGGCATTGACAGCGTCGATGATGACGGTGGGCTGGTCTCGCTTCACCGCCTTGAAGTCAATGAGCCTGCCAGTCGTGGGTTCGCTGGCCGGCGTGAATAGCCCCTCGCGCTCGGGGTCCATGCTCTTGAACTCCCTGGCAACGAAGCGACAGCGAATCTCTTCACCCTTCTCCTGGTGCACCCACTTGGTTGACAACCTTGTCCAAGTGGAATCTATCTCATCAGGCGACGCCGCCTCAAACACTCCAAACTCCTGCATCGTGTTGATCTCCTTGCACTTGCCTGCCTTGATGAGGTCCACGTCATACTCTCCCTCGTGCCAGTCGATGTCCATCTCTGGATCCATGACGGGCATCGGGTCGATCTCGTCCATCACGAAGCCGTCGACGCCTCCGACGGTGCCCATCTCAACCTCTGGGACCTACGACTCCCCAGTGGGCTGGGCAAGACGTGATGGCGAGCTTCCGCCTGCCTCTTGCCTCGGTGCGGGGAGCGCCACGTCGTCCATGTAGCCACTGCCTGTCCTACTCCTGGCACTCGCGTAGCTGTTCCCGTCCTCGGCAACTCCTCTCTCCACCGTGGGGTCTGGAACTCCCTTTCTCCTCCTTGGTATCGTCGACTTCAGTCTCCTCTTGCTTCTTCTCAGGTGGGGCAGTCGGGAGAATGACCACCCTCTTGCCTTTCGGCCTTCCAATCTGGCCGATGCCTCGGTCCCAGGGGGCCCCAACTACCTTGGCCACGAGCTCTAGGTCGCATTGGTCCTCCTCTGGGAGCCTGCGCACAGTCCTGACCAAGTGCACCCCGCTGCTCGTCCCCATGAGGAACTCGTCGCTCTCGTAGGTCTTGCCCAGGAAGACGCCCTTCTCCCACATCGACTTGGACTTGCGACTACGTCTGCCTCCTGTCATGTGGCCACTCGACGACATCGGATGCTTGAACATGGCGGTCTCTGCGAACTTCAGGACGACGCCATGGTATTTGGTGCCAGTAGCATCTTGATGAGGAGTCCGTCCGTTTGACTTGATGTGGAACATCTCCGCGATGAAGCCTACGTGTCTAACAAGCCACGGCCACAGAACATGACCTGGCCCTATCTTGATGCCCAGCATCTTCTCTGTTGCAGCTCGGATCGTTCTGGTCTGGCCCTGCAAGGTCTTCTGCTGCGCCCCCACGGCTCCGAGCGACTGCGATGAGTACCTGGGGGTCTGCTCCACTGTGGCCTTGTAGCCATCGAACTTGAGTCTCTTGGCCGCCACCGCATTTGCTATGCTGACAATGCTCGGCCCTCCGTCACTCCTGAGCCTGAGCTGAGTGGCGCCCAGCCTCCTGAGGAAACTCACGATCGAAGTCACAGTGTAGTCGTGACTGCCTCCCTTCTCTGGGAGGCTGAGCTGTAGAGGAACACCCGTGTCGCAGTCGATGACGGCCAGCGTGGTGGAGAAGCGGTTGGCCGCGTCCTCGGTCTCCTCGCCATCGTCCTTCAAGAAATGGTAGTCGATCTGCACGACGGGCACCTCTGGCTCCTTGTCCGTAAGAAACTGAACTCCCCGATGGGGTGCGGCATCTCCCTTTCCGAACACGCACTCCAGGCACCAGGGCTCAAACTTCGCGTGAGTAAGCTCGTGCTGCCGTACGGTCTCCGCGTCGGGCCTCTCTGGGATCTTCAGCGTCCTCGGTACTTCGGGATCGACGCCTTCTTGGAGTCGCCGTTGACGCTCCTCGAGGGCCTCCTTGACCTTCATCTTCTCATCCAGCTGGTGCTCGCACTTGACGAGCCTCTCCCACAGCTGCTTCTTGGTGTCGTAGATGGCCGCACCGATGATCCCAAGCCTCCTGAGCTCCTTCAGGCGAGCGCTCAACGCCTCGACTGACGACTGGGGGCCCAGGATCTCTCGTGGCTGTCCTGCTTGTGGTGGTGGTGCAGGTACGGCTTGAGGTTCTGGCGGTGCAGGTGCAGCTTGAGGTTCTGGTGGTGGTCCTGGCGCTGGCTCTTGCTCATGAGCCGCTTGATCGATCACAGGTGCCACTCGATGCCTGTGAGCACCCGCCTCCAGCACCCGACACCTCGCGTAGAAGCTCTTCCCGATCATTGTCAGGGGTATCTTCCTCTGGACGCCGTTCACGCTCAGCGGGGCCATGTAGCTGTTCCCCGTCTCCAAGTGAATGACTGCTCCTCTCATGACTCTGATGCCACAGCTGAGCACGGGCTTGCTGAAGTCGCCGATGCGAAATCGGTTCGTGGCCATCACCTCGTGGCCAGTCTCGTCCAGAAACGCGATGCCGACGTTCCGCTCGCCGTAGTCCTGGATCTCGTCGTTGGTGGCCGTCCCCAGCTCCACCTTGGTGGGATCCTCGACGTCGTCGCTCGAGTGACCAAAGCCGAGGGGACACCCGTCAGCGTCCGACCCGCTATCAATCGAGACCCACACGTACTTGCTGTCGTCGTTGATGGTGTTCACGCTCTCGGTGACACCCATGACCCACAGCTCGTCCTGCTCGTTGACTATCCTCTTGACCTCAGCATTCTCTGGCTTCGACCTGCACTCTGAAGCTTTGTGGCCCATCTTCCCGCACTTGTCGCACTTGATGCGTGACCTGCAATCCTTGGCCTCATGACCTGGCTTCCCGCACTTGTCGCACTTCTTCCTCTCTTTTCCTCAGTTTCCGCCTTTCGCGTCCTTGCCCTTGCCTTTTGTCTGGTTGGCTGCTCCACCTCCTGGGGCCCAGCAATCCCTTGACCAACGGCCTCGTTTGCCACAGTTCTTGCAGGTGTCGCGATCTGAGTCCCGACCCTTGCCAGCGTCCTTCCTCGACTGCTTGCCGTACCCTTTCGGTGGCTTGAAGATGCCGCCAACGTCTCCATTCTCGTTCACCATGCCGACGTCCATGGGCATGGGTCCGTCGTACTGGATGCCGTGGGGTGCTCCCGTGGTCTCGTAGACCTTGCCACTGGCGATGTAGTCCGTGACGACCTTGGCCAGCTTGTTGTAGTCCTGGCCGATCGCCCCCAGGGCTTGGCGGACCACGGCCTTCACGTCCTCTGGAGCCCACCTGACCACGACAGCAATCCTCGTGCCTTCCGTGACTCTCTCCAGGGACTGGGCCTCGTAGAGCGAGACGCTCTTCTCCCACTCCTTCCAGGCAGCTTCCCACATGCGGATGCCGCCTCTGATGGCCGTCTCCCACTCTGGCTTGAGCACTCCCATCAGCATCGCCGTCAGTCTTCCGCCCGACTTCGGTTCGTACTCGTCCTTGAGCCTCTTCCAACCTATGGCACCGTTGTTCTTTGGCACCATCTGGAGGATCGTGAGGGCCTTGCCTCTCGTCGTAGCGATCAGCAAATGATGCAGCACCTTCATCCTCAGTTGGATTCTCTCCGTTTGAGTTGCCCAGCCTAGCTCCGTCTCGTCCGTGTTCTCGCAGTGAGTCATGATCTGCTCTAGGTCGACGAGCCCTGCCGTTGACTCGAACACGAAACACCACTGCCTCCATTCTTCATCTGCGCCTGAGAAGACTCCTATCCTGCTCAGGATCTTCGTGTCAACTATGCTCTCAAGCCGTCGGTCCTCAGCTTGAGATTCTGGTCTCTCGGTCAGCCTCTGGATCTGGGCCGCCTGCTCTCCAACAATCCGCTGCAGCTCTTGCAACGCTGCCTCCATCGCGCAGCTCTGGCTGCGTCTGAACACGCTCACGCTACCATGTTAAGTTTTATGCTAGGTGGGGCCTGATCCTTTTCACCTCAGGCCTGGGCGAACTCGATCACAAAATGGCTTCGGCCAAACATACAAACGTGCATGCATGCAGTACTCATTATCCTCGCTCGAAACCCCTCGAATATCTGCACCTTCTCCTTCTCACTTCTCCCCCTCGCTCGCCACCGATTTTGGGTCAGACGAGGTCCCACGAAGATGCGACGTAACGAAGGGTGTGGTTTGTAACCCACGCCGGGGGTGGGAGGGCGAGGACCTCGACAGAGCTCTCCGCCGGGCCCCGACGCGACCCCACGAGGGCGACGCGGTGCCCCAACCAGTCGCAGACCACACTCCGGCGTAACCACATCCTTTGCAATCGCCGACCTACCCAGACATCCGACATCTCGAGTCCCTCAGCCCCTGTCCCCCTCGAAACATGAAAAAATCACAACGGGACATATCTCGCTATTTTCGGCCTCTGGGGGCCCTTGCCAGACCTCGGGACCGTCAAAAAACGACTCAGGATGAAAAACCGGTCCCGGGGAAGGGGTCCAGACCTTGGGGGTCGAGGTTGTGAAAAAATCACGACGTCGGGGGTCTGGGAACCCTCCGACGAATTTTGCATGTACCCCCCTGTGTAAAAAGTCGCTAGCTCTCAGTGGTGACCTATACACCGCTACTCTCCCCTGGGGTCCAGGAACTATCCAGTGCAAGGTGTCAGTGTTTTTTTTGTGGTGGAGACTTACCCAGACATTCGACACCTCGAGCCTCGAGTCCCTCAACACGGGGCACCTGAAAAAGTCTGGACCCTTTCCCCGGGACCGGCTCTTCACTCTGAGTTGTCATCTGACGGTCCCGGTGCCTAGCGAGGGCCCCCAGAGGCCGAACACCACGAAAAGCCTCCACCTCGAGCTTCTCGAGACGTGAGAAGTCTTGGCTTGTAATCGCCGATCTGACTTGAGCAGGAGCCGACCGTCCCGGCATTCCTAGAGGCCTACCACGACATGTTCCTAGAACCCAAAAGTGCTCCGCTCCAAGACCAGTGTTCTCAAAATCGATGTCTTAAACAAGACGGTCTCAGCCAGAAATGTTCCAAGAGCAGTCCGGGCAAACTGCAGAGGGGTGCCAGAACAGTCCTTGGTGGGCCTATAGGAAGCAAGCCCGATGCATCAAGACAAGAAGGTCTCAGCCAGAGATGCTCTACGAACACGTCGCGCACATCGTAGGAGAGCCCAGAATCGAATCGACAAGTCGGGTCGGCGATCGAAGTGAATCGGATCGGCGGAAATCGGCAGCCGAGTCGGGAAAAGTCGAATCGACAGACATCGGCAGCCTAGTATGCCTCCACGACGAAATCGGAGCCCAAATCCGAACCCCCGATCGAATCGAATCGGAATCGGAAGCCATCGAAGCCGAATCGAATCGAATCGGAGGAATCGAAGCGAGCCCTGCATCGCAGAAGCTCCTTGGAACATCTATTTGGTGGGCCTATGGGCAAGCCGCGACGCTTCGGCGTTGCTCGACGGAGGCCGCCCGCGCGCCTCCCGCAGCAGCTGCGCGCCGCCGTCCGCCTCCGCGGCAAGCCGGCGCGCCTCCGGGGGGCGCCCAGGAAGGGGGCCCGCGGATCCTGGCCCGAGGCAAGCGCGCGGCGCAGCGGGGACCAGAAGACGTCCTGGAAGAAGAAAAAGAGGAAGAAGATAAACAAGCATGGGAAGACTAATCAGAAGAAGAAACCGACAACGAAGAAGAGGACGAATAGTGGCAAGACTGAGATGAGTACTAACAACACAAGTCGAAACATGAGATCTGGAAGACATCATGGGCCCCGCCCTGATATTCACCCTCCTCTAGTCATCGCCCCCCTCTTCGATGCCTGGTGGTTTTCGGGTTGCAACTCGGGCCACAATGGCCGTTGGGGACGATCTGGGCACCCCTGAAAAGCTCTTGACGAGGTGCAGCTGCTGGACAACGCCCCGAGGCTGGAGACCCGCCGAGAGCTGACCGAAAGTTCCGTTTCGTCCGGCCACCCCCCCCTACTCCGGATTTTACAAGAAAAAGGGGGGTGGTCTGATTTGGTAGGGGGTCTGATTTGACCTGTCTTGGAGGGTTCCAGTGGGGTCTGGGCAAAAGGCCGCCCTTTCGCGGCTGGTCTGGGGAGGGGGGTCTAAAACTGCTCCTCTGAGGGGGTTGTGACCCCCTCCACCTGTTCTAACGAAATTTGGAGTAGTCAATCCTCCCCCCCCCAGTCACTTGCCATCGCTCGGACGTCCATTCCCTGTGCCCTTGTCCGTTTCGTGCGTTTACTTTTCGCACGATGATCCAGGATGCTCCTCGATGGCCCTCGCCAAGAAAAAAAACACAGGTGCGAGCGATGCCCAAGTTTCCCCCCCCTGTCGGACGGGGCTAGGACGATGGTAAATCATCCGCTCCAGAGCGTTCCTGTACGCTCCCAGAGCGTTCCAGGGCGCTCTGAGAAGGCAGCGGCGCCCGAGACATCCTCCAGAGCCGCCGGATCTCAGAGATTCCCGACATATCTTCGCACGAATTCGTCCTCGTCACGGTCCTGTTTTTTCATAACGTCGACCCCCAGAGGTCTTGACCCCTTTCCCAGGACCGGTATTTCATCCCGAGTCGTTTTTTGACGGCCCCGAGGCTAGGTATAAGAGACCCCAGAGGCCGAAAAGAGTGAAACATTTCCCCGCGCGATGTTAAACCCTTACCCGATCTTGTCCTCTTCTTGGCTTCGTCTGACCCTGGGCCGCCCCCGGCACCTGCACCACCCACAGCAGCCGCCCCACCCACGCTGTTCGGGCTATGCTATTAGAGGCCTCCTAGATGGGGTCGGAATAGATGGGCTCGGAGGAACGCGCCGCGTCGCCGATATATCCGCAATGCACCGGCGATGCATCGGCGATACACCGGCGATGCATCGTCGACGTGGGCGATGCATCGGCGACGTCGGCGTGGAGAAAATTGGGCCCCACATCGAGCCGCATCGGCGATGCATCGGCGATGCGGCGCGATCCTCCGACACCATCTACTCCGACCCCATCTGGGAGGCCTAGAGTCTAGAGCTATGCTCCTGGCCCGTCTCCTACCAAGAAGGTCGGTTTGCAGGAGTTGAGGAGTCGTTGGTTTGGGGGAGGGGCGGCGCACCCCGCGGGTGCCATCTGATGAGCTTATGTCATCCCCCCCCCGTCAGCGGCCGCGGCGGCGACAACGACAACGGCAACGACAACGACGACGAGGACGAGGACGAGGACGACGACGACGACGACGACGACGACGAGGGCGACGACGACGCCGACGACGCCGACGCCGACGACGGCGACGGAGACGACGACGACGACGACGGCGACGACGACGACGACGACGACGACGACGACGACGACGGCGACGACGGCGGCGGCCACGATGACGACGACGACGACGACGACGAGGACGAGGACGACGACGACGACGACACTGGCCGCCCCCGGCGCCTGCACCACCCACAGCAGCCGCCCCGCGAGGGCGCGCCGGAAGGCGTCGAGCTGCCGCGGGGTCGGAAGGGCGGCGCTGCCGCGGGCGAGGCTGCGCAGGAGGCTCTCGAGCTCCTCCGGGGCTTCGAGGGCTTTCGGGGCTAAAGGAAGAGGAGGAGGAGGAGGAGGAGGAGGAAAAGGAGGAGGAGGGCGGAGGAGAGAGGAGGGAGGAGGGAGACAGGAGGAGGGAGGGACGGAGGAGGAGGACAGCGGGAGGGAGGGAGGAGGAGGAGGACGAGTAGAAACCCAAGACTCATCAACGAAGAGGAGGAGGAGGAGGAGGAGGAGGAGGAGGAGGAGGGAGCGGGGAGGAAGGAGGAGGAGAAGGAGGAGGGAGGAGAAGGGAGGAGGAGGGAGGGAGGAGGATGGGTAGGAGGGATGATGATGATGATGATGATGATGATGATGATGATGATGATGATGATGATGATGATGATGATGATGATGAACATGTTCTTTGATGATGACGATGGGGAAGAAGAGACAGAGGACCGGTATAAACCCAAGACTCACCAACGATGTTGGAAGACACCATGCCTCCAAGCTCCCCCTCAACAGGACCCTACAAGGGTTCATTTCCACTGAGGGAAGCGCCCCGATGGGGGACAACTGTTTGAAAATCCTGAAGCGTGCCAATACACCCTTCCCAAGATTTCAACGCCACGAGTTAACCTGACTGTTACGTCTTGGATATCTTGAATTGTGCCAGAACACAATTCCTGGGACTTCACGACAGCGAATCAACGTCACTGTTGCAGCCTGACGTTCACCATGAGAACCAATGAACATTTTGCATGTTTGCCACAAATGCGCGCGGCACTAAAGCGAGAACGACATTTTGAAAAAGAACCGCCCTCAATCCGTGTAGCTCGTCCATTGTAAACAAAAAGCGAAGATGCGCGGCGCCAACGCGAGAACCACATTTCGAAAACCACCCGCCCTCCATCTGTAAAACTCTTGCGAATGTTTGAAACGAATGTGCGCGGCGCTAATGCGATAACCACCTGTTGAAAAAGAACCGCCAGCAACATGTGAAACTCTTGCAATTGTTTGAAACAGCTGTGCGCGGCACTAAGGCGAGAACCACACTTTGAAAACCACCCGCCCTCCATCCGTGCTTCTCTTGCTGCTTTGTTTAACGAATGTGCGCAGCGCTAAATCGAAGATCACATGTTGAAAACCATCGGCCCCCAGTCCGTGAATTTCTGCATGTGTTTGACACGAATGTGCGCGGCGCTAAGGCGAAAGCCACAGTTTGGAAGTGGCCCGCGCTCCATCTGTGAAGCCGTTACCATTTTCTCAACTTCAAGATCATAAATGACGAGGGAATATTAGGCGGAACGCCCGGCCGGCCAGTTCGACCGGCCTCGGGGTGCGACAGGGAGGAGTTAGTTATAAGAAAAAGGAATGGAGGAGGAGCTGGAGGAGGAGGAGCTGGAGGAGGAGGAGCTCGAGGAGGAGGAAGGAGGAGGAGGAAGGAGAGAGGAGGAGGAGGAGGAGGGAGGGAGGGAGGGAGGGAGGGAGGAGACGGAGGAGGAGGAGGAAGGGGGAGGAGGAGGAGCGGGGAGGAGGGAGGAGGAGGGAGGAGGACAAGAGGGGTTCGGACGGCGAGGTTCGAGTTTTCTCTGGTGCTTTGGTCGGTTTCTGAAGGTTTTCCAGCCTCGAGCTCCTGCGGGGTTCGCGATTGGGCGCGACCCTCCGAACCGCCCCCTCCCTCCTTAGCCACTCAGGCCACTTGCAGCCCACGCATAACCAGACCTAACCCAACCCAGCATTTACCCATGACCCCGTAGACACCAGGCCACCCAAATGGGGTCCGAGTAGATCGGGTCGGAGGAGCGGGTCGCATCGCCGATGCATCGACAATGCAGCTCGATGTGGAACCCGATTTCCTCCACGCTGACGTCGCCGATGCATCGGCGATTCGGCGCGATCCTCCAACTCCATCTACTCGGACCAAATTTGGGACACCTCCAGAAAAAGGTACCCATACCGCTACACTTCCCTCGCTTGCGCCATTTTGGGACTCCTGTGAAGCCCTCGTCGCCACGGCTGGATTCGCCTCGAGATTCTGGTTAGAACGCACCCGGGTAGGTACCCATACATCCAAAGCGTGAAACAAACATCAGAGCGGAATATTTGTTCTGCGGTTGTGGATCTGGGGGCCCTCGCCAAGCAGTGGGACCGTTACAGAAGGGCCTGGGATGAAAAAGTCGGCCCTGGGGAAAGGGTCGGGACTTTCAGGGACCCCGCGCTGAACAATTTCTGTTTGTTCGTTGGCGGCGAGGCGGAGGCGATCCGCACCAGCGTCAAGCTAACCGGGGGCACCGATCGGCAATTTGTCCGGCGTGCAAGAGATGGGGGGAGGGGGGCGGCCGCGCGGGGGGAGGAGAGAGGCGCATCGCACTGAACAAACTTGTTTGATCCGCGGGTCGAGAGCGCACCTTTTCCGGTCGAAGCGAAGCGGGCCGCGCACAGCTTTGATTCACAGCGCACTGAACAAACACAATGCATCGGATCTCTGGGGAGGTCTAAGGTTTTCGGGCGTTCTCGGCAGTTGCCCGGCCTCGGGGTGCGCTCCCGCAACTGCGCCTCGCCGAGGGCGTGCCGATGGGTGCCTGGAGCACCCCGCGCGGCCGCCGGGGGCACGAATTGTGGCCTGCAGGCTCGGAGCTCCGACGACATGCTGCTTTCAATCCAGGCGCTTTCCTCGATTTCGGCCCCCGAGGCCCGTTTATGGCGGCGTGCAGCGCACAAGGGGGCAGGAAAAACGGGGGGAAGGCTTCTCAGAAGGGGGCGCTTTTCTCGAGTTCGGCCCCCGAGGCCCGTTTTCGGCGGCGTGCAGCGCACGAGGGGGTAGGAGATAAGGGGGGAAGGCTTCTCAGAAGGGGGCTGCTTCTCAGCAGGTGCTGGCCCTGCATCTGCGGAGAAGGCCCGCGCCCTCCAAGGAGCAGGGCCCCGCCAAGCATTTCTCTGGGGGGGGCGCTCGGGCGCGAATTATGGGGGGCGATACTTGGGAGGAGAGAAGGCGCCCTTCTCGGGCCCTCAAGGCCCCCTCTGGGGGCCTCAGTGGCCCCTCTAGGGGACCAAAAGGGCCCGGTCTGACGATCGAACAACACGCACCCATACCCATAGGGGGGACGGAGGAGGCTATGGGTGCGTGTTGTCGGATGGGGGTCCCCGCTCGAACGGGAGCTTCCCCCAGGGTCCGACAACTCGCACCCATACCCATAGCCAGTTCCCTCCTCTCGACCCTCCTATGGGTATGGGTGTGAGTTGTTCGCTCGTCACCTGTCTCTGCAGCCCTCGCTGCCCCACCCGTTCGTCGCCCCCCCGTCAGCTCGCGCCCAAGACGCCCTCGAGGTCTGGACCCCGGGCCGCGATCCCGTGGGCAGGTTTTGCGGTCGGCCCCGGCCTCCGCCGAAGTCTTCGACTCCACCCCTTGGGCCTCGAGAGGGGTGCTCTGGAGGCCGTGGGGGCCTCCTTGGAAATGCTGGGGGCACCCTGGGCCAAGGGCACTTCTGGCGACGTCCGATGTGTCGTCCTGGATCTATCCTGGATCATTACCGCCCGGCAGACGGTCCCCGAAGGCCGACATCGAGGAAGAAACGCCGGATGAAGAACTCATATCGTTGGAGAGATCTAGGGCATCCCCGCCGCATCCGCAACTGGGGCATGAAATGACCCGGTTCCGTGCATGCCCGGCCCAACCAATTTTGCAAAAACTGCGCTGCTGCTTTTGGCGGGACTGATAATCAATACGAAAGGCCACCTCCAGGGCCGTCAACAGCTCCCAAGCCTCGCTCGGCCAAGCTCCAGCGTTGCAGGATCCTGCGCGATCCGGCGTTCTGGCTGAGCCCCGTTTGCACCTGCACCTGGCAGATGCCTCCTAGATAAGCGCCGAGTAGATCGGTCGGATGATCGCGCCGTATCGCCGATGCATCGCCGGTGCATCGGCGATGATCGACGCCGTCGGCGTGGAGAAGGTCGGGCTCCACATCGAGTTGCATCCCCGATGCATCGGCGACGCGGCGCGATCCACCGACTCCATCTGCTCGGACCGGATCTGGGAGGCCTGATGCATCGGCGACGCGGCGCGATCCACCGACTCCATCTGCTCGGACCGGATCTGGGAGGCCTGGAGTTACGTGCGCCCCGAACAAGTCGGGCTTCTGCTGACCCGCGTCAGTGCAAGCCACGGCCAGTCAGGCTCTGCAAGATCCTGCAGGATCCTGCGGCATCCTGCGCGCTAGGTCGGGTCAGTGCACCCCTGGCTCTGCAAAATCCTGCAGTATCTCAGTATCTTGCGCTCTGGCTGACCTCGGCCTGCATGGACCCCCGTCTCATAGGGAAACGAACTCTACACACCGACGCCTGTTCTGGCCCTGCACCGAAATTCGCACAGGAACGCGGACCCTGGTGCATACGGGACCCTGGTGTACACTTACATGTTTCGCTGGTTCCTGGAAAACGGAACAACAAGTATACGCCACACCGCCCCGGCGTCGTCCCCAACCCTCGAACAGTCCTGGGAGTGAGAAACAGCCCGCCACTGGCCGCGTAACACGCCCCGGTTCCCGATCTCAGGGCTCCCGCCGAGGGCTGCGGCTCGGGGGCCCCGGCCCACGAGGCCGCGCATGCACGGACGTCTTCCCTGCCCGCGGTCCTCGGCAGACAGCACCGCCGGCGGCGCGGGCGCGGAGGGGGCCAGCGCCCCAGTCGACCCTTCCGCCAGCGGGCGAAGAACGGCACAACAGGTGTGCTCCGATACCGGAGGGCGTCTTCCGCCTGATGCTCCTCCTGCTCCTCCTACCCTTCCTCCTACTTCTCGTCCTCGTCCTCGTCCTCCTCCTCCTCCTCGCCTCCTCCTCCTCGGAGGAGGAGGAGGAGAGCTCTTTATAGCCAGTCAGTCAGTCAGCCGGTGGGAGGAGGAGGCCTCCTCCTCCTCCTCCTCCTCCTCCTCCTCCTCCTCCTCCTCCTCTTAGTCTCCCCTCTCGGGCACGGCCGGCGGCACTGGCCGCAAGGCCTTCGCAATGATATGCTCCGCCATCGGGGAGGCGGCTGGGAAGTCGACG